CAACCGCCTTGTGGGGCTTAGCCGACCGACGAAACGATTCGCCTTTTGATTCAGGAACAGACACGAGCACCTGCTCCACTGCTGGTATTGACGAAGTCGACTGGTCCGACCAACTGGCCAAATGTACGCAATCTGCACAATATTCATACACAGGCCATCATCGCGCTAAATGCCGCTGGAGGCGACGCGCGAGAAAGCCCGTTTGGAAATTCTCACGAGCAGCGCGCCGTTCATGTCATCGCAAGGGTAAGGATCGTGGTAAAGGTGGTAGACGCACCCGCATGCGATGTCCAGGCAAGTTGAAGAGATCAGGGAAGTGGGGGAGCAACGAGAGGGACAGCCGATCCGTGCAAAGGATGAGGCGGAAGAGGAGGCCAGATGGATAGATGAGGGGGTGGCGTGGAACCGAGCGAAGGAGGGATGAGGAGAATGATGACGCTGGGTGGATGGTTGAATGCCGCTCGGATGCCTCTTGGAAGCCTTTTGGAAGCCTCTTCGGGCGTCTTGGGGGTCTCTTGGCGGTCAATGGGGGCTCTTGGGCGTCTTGGGTGCTTTCGGGGGGGCCTTTTGAGGCCGCTTGGGATCCTCTTGGGGGGCTCTTGGGGGCCTGTTGGAGGCCTCTTGGGGCCTCTTGGGGGTCTCTTGGAGCTTCATGGCGGCCTCTTGGAGCCTCTTGGAGGCCTCTTGGAACCATCCTGGGAGCCTCTTGGAGCCTCTTGGGGGCTTCTTGGGGCCTCATGGCGGCCTCTTGGGGGCCTCTTGGAAGCCTCTTGGGGGCCTCCTGGGCGCCCTTTGGGGCCATCTTGGAAGCGATCGATCAAAGAACGGGGGGTTCCCTAATTAACCCTGCCCCTCGGGAGCTCCCAAAATAGCCGCCTGGACCCCTCTTGGGGCGCTCTTGGAGCGCTCTTGGGCGCTCGTGGGGCCGTCTTGGGGCCCTCTTGGGCCCTTCTTGGGGCCTCCTTGGCCCCTCTTGGCTCCATGTTGAGGCCTCAGATGGCCATCGGAAGCGAAAAGGCGAGAAGCCGAAACTCGTTGGTTGTTCCTTAGGTTTTTGAAGGATTTTGGCTTCTTGGGGGGCCTCCTTGGGGAGATAATTGGCCTCTTGGAGCTGTCTTGGAGCGTTCTGAGAGCGTCTTGGAGCATCTTCGGAGCCATCTTGCGGCATCTTAGGCTATCTTGAGCCATCTTGGAAGTCATCTTGGACTATCCGAGGCGCTCATGGAGCCATCCTGGGCCATCTTGGACACTCTGACCGCTCGCGACCGGGCCCGTTCAGGTCCAGGGGAGGGGTTAGGGGGAGGGGTAAACCCCTCCCCGAAGGGGAAGAAGGGAAGATGGAAGAGGAAACTCCCTAAACCACCTACGCCCAGAGGACTGGTGGGATTCTCATCGTTGTGAGGTGGTCTGGCACGTTCCGCTTGAGACATCCTCACAAGACTGTGTGCCGAGACGATATGATCTGAGATGGTCCGACCCGTTTCGCTCGAGACATCTTCGCACTTTTTGGTCCCCAGACGCTGCGCCAGAGGTGGTCTGGCCCATATCTCCTGAAACGTCCTCGCATCTCGTGACCTGAGTTCCTCCGACCATTTCGCCTGAGACACCCTCGCGTATCTGGTCTTGGAGACGCCGCGCACGAGGCGATCCGATGCCACGCATGAGGCGATCCAGCCACTTTCGCTTGAGACGATATGACGCGTGCGAGGAGGTCCGCTAGGTTCGCCTGAGGCTATAACAGTAGGAGGCGGCTGAGGACGAGGGGGAGGAGGAGGAGGAGGAGAAGGAGGACGGCAGGAGAGTGCTCGCATTACAGTCGGACAAGTATCCGTGTTTCCGTCTCGGGACGTTCCTCGTCGCCAGGGCTGGACGTGGCTCGGAGGGTGGCGGGGCGACCCCGGGTGCTGGGGTCGCCCGGTGTTTTCAGAGGCGCGAGCCCCAACGGCGGTGCCAGGGAGGTGCCGGGGAGGGGTTGCCCCCAGAAGAGCTCGGTGAACCCCATGGCCCACGGAGTCTTTTCCGGGGCTGGACCGCATTGCGAGGCATGTCCGTCAAGATGTAGAAATTCGTAGGCCCACGATTCTTGTACGAAATTCATCTTGTAAAATGTATGTTGCCATTTCGTTGGGCGTAGATCGTATGGCGATCGTGAAATATGGCGAAAACAATAGCGTGAACGCCACGCAGCAGAAGCAGGAGAGAGGCGAATTACGCAGCGTGGACCATCTCACATGTAATGTTCTAGTACGCGAGCGAGGTTTTGTCAAGTCAGCACCAGAACAGGGGAAATAGGGCAGTAGCGCTCATATCGCCATTGGAGGAGGGAAGCCCGAGGAGGAGCAGGAGGAGGGATCGGATTAGGCGGTGAAGGGGGAAATTGAGGAATAATACTGATAGTAGGAGGAGGAGGAGAAGGAGGAGGAGGAGGAGGAGGAGGAGGACGAGGGGGGTTCTGAGGAAGCTGTGGAGGAGGATGCTCAGACGGGGGAAGTGGAGCCGAGAATAGATCCCTTCCCCTTTGCAATCGCCGAGGCAGGGACCGCCGCGCTGCCTCGACCGGGAAGGCGAAGCGGAAGTGGAAATTCTTGGAGACAATGGACGGCATTTATTTGGCGCCGTCGTCGCCCGCGCCGTCGTTAGCGTCTGAAGTTGTTTTTGGGGACACAGTTTAATCGTTGTCGGAAGTCTTCGAACATGTCAGGAGACATCCGTATGTTGTTAGGGATCTTGTGCCGTTAGAGGTGTCTGTTGAATCTTCTGAGGTGGAAAGGTAGATTTCGAAGAGGAAGAAGAGGCAGGGAGGAGAGATTGGAGATTGGACGAGGAAGCAATCGTCCGACTGAGATTCGGCATGTGACCAGTGACTGACCTTGAGGCCTAAAAGGTCAAGGAGATCCCAGGGTGTTGGTCTCAGTTCTCGATCCCGCTCCACCGCCGCAGCTTCCTCGTTGCACTGTACTTCGATGCGAGCAGCGGCTGCGCGGCATCCGCTCTGCAGGTGGGGCGCCTCTGCGCGAAGCTGTTGGACGACGGTGGTGGCGAAGAGGAGCGCTTTCCGTCATCCTCTTCCTTATTCCGCCCGTTGTTTCTTTTGACTACAGCTATCCTCCCCACTCTTCCTCCTCCTCGTCCTCCTCCTGTGCGTGGAGCCTGCTCATATCACCAGTGTATATATATATATGTATATCACTGCATACCGCTAACGTATCGGCTCAGGCACTGGTGTACACACCGCGCTGTTCTCCGCGCAGGGCCCTGGAAAAGGAGTAGCTAACCTCTTCTTCACTCACCTCTACCAACGGATAATCGTATAGGTCTACTCTTTCGTCGTTACCCTATACACACACACTGGTTACCAGCCTATTATATCACGCTTTTCGCCGCTGCGCCACGCGTCCTCTTTGACCACGCCGCATGGTTCTGCACCCCTCGGGGCGCAGTGCCTGTATGCGAGCGGCGTCCTCGACGGCGCGTGGGCGCGCCGACCACACGGAGAGGGCGAAACAACCCGTGATACCCATTTCCCGTTTCAGGCGACGGCAGTTCCGTTGTCGTCGTCGTCGTCGTCGCCGTTCTAGCATATCATCGTCGCAATCCATAGCATCGCATAGCATGCCATATCACGCGTAGCCAGCCGCTTTCGCATACTATCGTAATTCAAGTCAGTACATGACATAGCAATGCACATCATAATATTTCACACCACGTTTGCATAGCACCGCACAGCACAGCACAGCGCAGCATGCAGTGCTTCCGAAACCAGTGCGGAGCAGCTCGTGCACATGATATGTCACATCAACAACGTCATACCACAACGTGGCATTGGTGGCATAGCATAGCATTGCACAGCGTAGTAGTATGGTTTGCATATCCTGACATACGCTGGCATTGCTGAGCGTCCCATGTCGTGTCAAACCTGTTGATAGCGATACCCTTTTTTCAGAGAGCTTGGCGTACGCGAGGCTCACGGAGGCCGACGCCGCAGACGACCGTGACGTCACGCGCTGAGAAGCCACGCGCTGCACTGAGCTCTGAATTCGAGCCGGAGGACTCTTGCACAAAGCGCTCAGGCACAATCACACTGCACCTACAGTTCTGGCGATTTGTAAGGGACAACCATACTGTGCAGCACCATCTGTTTTTAGAACTGCAGATTCTCTGCGCCATGGGCTATGGGCTCGACTCGAGATTGGGGTAACTCGATCGATAAAGCATGGCCCTGATCCGGGTAGGTCCCGACGCTCCCTGCCGCAATGATGTCGCGCTCCAGTGGGTCAGGGAGCGCGGGAGGCGTAAGCATCTAAGTGGAACGACGAACTCCCTCGGCGTAGCGCGGGTCGTGCTGTACCTTGCGAGGGCGATGCCGACGGCCCATTTCGATAGACCGAATGTGGCCCAAGAGTAGGGAGAGAGATGATCTGGCGATTGGGGATGGGCGGGGGTGGGGATTAGGTTGGGAGTGAAACACAAACAGTGGGAGTCCGACGAGGGGTTGGTTGGGTGGGGCAGGAGGGGAGAGGGGGCGAGTGGCCTCGGACGGGGCGACATGCTCATCGGAATCGGCACACGAGCAGGCCAGAGCCGTCTGGGGCGGCCACGAACAACTATCGGCGGTGACACTTCGCAAGCGCCATCTGACAACAAATGGCGGGAGTGGGGTCGAGATGGGGGGGGGGAGAAGGCAGGAGGGAGGACGGAGTTCGAGTGGGCGGGGTGAGCACGGGAGGGTTGGCCAGAACGCGAGCCGAACGTTGGGGCGCTCATGCACGGCCATCGTGCCACTTCAAGAAGCCCCATGGGGCCACCTTCCACCCACCACAGCAATATACACGGTGGCCCCAGCTCTACTCGACACTTAGGCCGAGTAGGGCGGGGGCCACCTTAAGGCATCGATCACGTTAGACAGCCTCCGAGGTCAGCTTGCCAATATGGGGTCTGGGGGTAGGGCACGATAGTACGTACTATGAAACAGCAGGGTAGGCTATGCTAAGCTGTGCTTGGACATGGTATGGCTACTACCAAACACATTTACTATGCTACGATGTGAGAGTAGGTTGGGTAGAACAGTACAGGAGTGGATCGGGTGGGTTATGACCTCATGGGGTGAACATGAGGCCTCGGGCAGAACGACAGAACACATTATCGATGGCCCTCTCAAGTTGCCCAGGATTTCATGCCCCCCCCCCCCCCCGAGAGGGCCTGGAATGGGGGGCCCGCGAGTGCTCAATTCGGGGCCGTCGGAAGGGGGAATGGGGGAAGGAGGATTGCGGGATCAGGGATGCAAAGGGGAAGGTGCACCGAGGGACACCCAAATGCACCGAGAGCCCTTGATGAGCCCTGAGTCATAGCATAGCTCAGCAGTGCATAGCATATCATAACACGCCATGGCATAGCGTATGCCATGATGTGTAGAATGCTGGTGGGAATGATGTTTGCACTGCGGCACGCTCCACACATGAACAAAGTTAGGGCTGCATATCGGGCTCGGGCCCCTCTCCATGCCTGCGCACCCGTTCGGATGCCAATGAGCGGAGGGCATTCACGTCGCCGTCGTGTGCCATGCGCTCGACGGTGTGGCGCGCGTCCAGGCGCATCATGTAGATCATGGAGGCGACGCATGTTCCACAGTGGTTCGGCTTATCCGTCCAGTTGTGGCCGTCTAAGAGCCAGGCCGCCAAGAAGCCTACATGCCGACCTGTGGCGTGCCGAGCCCTTGCAAGCGCCGCCCGCTCCCGACTGCACCTGCTGTGTCCTACGTCCCTGCAGTAGGCCACGAACCTCTTTGGTTGTCCCGTAGCACACGATCTCGCCGCCTCCGATTGGGAAGTGCACTTCAGCAGGGACATGCGGACCCCCTGGCCCACCGCCGCCGCCTCCGCCAGGAAGGCCACCGCCATCGTCTCCGCCAGAAGGGTCACCGCCTCCGCCACCGCCGTCGCCTCCACCGTGAGGGTCACCGCCTCCGCCTCCGCCACAAGGAGGATCCTCCTGCCCATCCTCTGAGTCCTCCTCGTTCTCGCTCCCTTTAGGTTCGGAGCCTTCGCCCTCGGTGCCGTCGGTGTCCACGTCGAAGTCTCCATGGCCGTTGTGCTCTTCCCCGCTGCCGATGCCAATCTCCGCATCCTCGCCCTCGGCGCCGTCCAGGTCACCGCCGTCCTTGGGGCGCCGTCGCGAGCTGATTGCGACCTGAGAAGAGCGCAACATGTTTGAAACAACTGCTGCCCCCCCCCTTTTGAGGATCACGAGAGGGGCCCCGCACGCACCACCCAACGATGTCAGAGGCTTAAGCTCAACCCTGCACGGCCTCAGGAAGGCAACCGATCTCTTGTAAATCGCCTCCTGGAACTTCGGCTGGGTCGCACCGACGACGGCTTCAGAGGCGATGGGGCCATAATATCGGCGATGCAACGCAGCGCCGAATCCAACTTCATCCCTTCTATGGAATCCATAGCGTCGTAGTCGCAGCATATGTCGGACTCGGCGTCGAGCTTGACGAAGCCGTCCTCGATGGAATGGCCTGAGGCCATGCCCGTATCCACTGTAAATAGAGGGCTCAGGCTCTGAAGCGAAATGTGCAGCCACCATGTTTGAGTGACGTGGTCCTCCGCCTCTTCCTCCGACAATGGCTCAGGCGCCCGGCTGGCGATGCACGCGGCAAACCAACCTTGCTGTAGATCGTGTCTAGCAGGCTGACCTGTCGGAAAGTCTAGACCGAGGCACGCGTGCAGTCTAGACACCATGGCCTTAAGTAGACGCCCGTTACCGCGGCAGCAGCAACGGTTGCGAATCCAACGCGCCGGGCGGTCATCGGGTATTTTGCCAAACTGTTCGCACATGCCATGCTGGGCGACAAGATGGCGCGTCTCCCACTCCGAGCCCAGGGTCGGAGCTTTGCGCCTGCAAGCGGGTTTGGAAGACGAGCCTAGGCTCGCCGCGAGCTTGGCCGCATCTCTTGCTGACCGAGGCATCCAGCAAGCTGACTTGACCGTCGACGTTGAAGGCGGTCGGTGTTCCCATGCCGTGGCGAGTGGCAAACGCGACGTGCAGACGCCAGAAACACCTTCCAATGCCTCGGCCGAAATATCAGATTGCCCCATGTGCGCCGCCAAGGCCTCGTCGTAAAGGCCTCTGTTCTAGCGCGCGCTTCTGCCGTCTGCAATGCAGGCGCATGTATTAGCGCCAGTGGGCAGCACAGCCAAGCTCGAATATGGTAAATGCGGCGGCTGCTGGTCGCCATGCACTTACGACCGCATGCGGTCGGCAACGCACCCCTTGATCACCCGCAGTTCTTCGCGGCGTGCATCGCGATGCAAGGCCCTCTGAACGCCCAGAGCATCGGGGCCGAATGGTTTTGCAACGCCTGCTCGACCAGCTTGCGTGGCTGCGGCTCCATCCGTCATGTGTTTGAGCCTCACCTCTGGCGCCTGCTGCTTGTGCGCGTCGTGGATGCCCGTGAGGTCCTGCTCCGCTCTGGGCGCGCCTCGGAGCTTCTCGCTCAGCCACGCCCTGCACGAGCCTCCACTTGGCCCCTTGGACTTTTTCGGCGCTGGCTCCGTGGCGCCGCTAGCCTCCCCAGGCTGGTCATCGCCGCGCGCCTCCAGAGATTTGCAGTCGCAGATCTGCTTGCCCTTCCTGTCAACGAAGCGGCCGCTGGCCAAGCCGAGCCCTATCTTAGGCGATTGGCATGGCGCCTTGATCACGCCCCAGCGGATGCTCGCAGGAGTAGCCTCCCCTCTCGCATTGTCAACTTCCTCGTGCGTTGCCCTGGTGACAACGTCGATGACGGCGCGCTCGGAGCAGATGTCTTCGCCGCAGTTCCCAACGAGTTTCAACGTCCAGGGGTCGAAACGGCACCTCGGGCTCGAGCCCAGCGCCAGGCCCACGTAGGACATGCCGTTATCTCGCATGCTCCCAAAGGCAAGCCGATAGGTGCGATTGGGGAAATTCAGACTGAGCCGAACCAGCTTCACATGCATATAGGCCGCCCCGAACGCCAGTTGTCGGAACGCCAGACACCGAGCACTCGATGTTCGACTGGCGAACGGC